CTAAGTGTCTCTTGTGTCCTTATCTTAGCTGTGCATGTTAGGGCTAAGTCTTGTGTGGTTCCGAGCGTATTTCCTGGAAAGGACATATCCGAGATGAAATAAATAACATAAGGTGGTCCTTATGACTAAATTATTTCTCTGGACTTAGCTGGTGGTCCACTATGGCTCGACGAAGTGAACAATAATAGGAAAAGGACCGCTTTCTTATTTAAATTCTGCTTATTATCGACCCTCAGGACTCTAGTAGTGCCCTAGTAAATTGTTGAAATTACTTGCGTTGCAGGGTCACAAACGAGTGCATTGGTTGAAACTAAGCCAAAATAACAAATAAGGGGGTCTCTGTTTCCTTTCTGGGCCCTATTGGGAATAGAACCACACTTGGACAAGAGAGGAAATGAAATTAAATCATATAGATGACCTAAGGGAATAGCTGCTTGCTATTATCATCAAGGTCGAAGGAATGAAATAATCAATGAGGCAAAATAAAATTAAAATTAAAGCAAAAGGAAATAAAGTGATCAAAACACGGGAATGATCTGAGGTCAAGAGTGTTCAGTGGCATTAGTGACTAAACTTTGGATTTGCTTTGATCAACACTATAGTGGGTTGTAGCGGTTGGGTGTTCAAAACCACATTGTGTGTCCCTCCAAAGCTTTAGTCAACATGCCGATGAAAATTCCTACGGTTACACGCGTTATTCTGTAGTTAGTCACGCAGTTTTCATGTAGTTAAACTTAAGTTTAATTAACAAGGCATCTGCGAAGTTCGCCCTTAGCGTTAAGTTAGTAATAGCAAGGAGTATTCCTAACCCTGTGAAGGTAAACTTTAGCTAATAAGAATGGTAAACATGGAAAGTGAGTAATTTAAAACCCTAACTGGTGTTGAGAAAGTATTCTAGAATACTTTGCACTGTGGAACACGAGCGGTGAGTAAGGGTTCACGTAAATGATGCTAACTCTTAACTGTGGAGGTTATTCAGCTTAGCCTAAGTTAGCTTGATGCTAAGCTAGGTTAGCTTAGCCGGAGTTAGCTTAGTGCTGGGTTAGTTTAGCTTAGCCTAAGTTAGCTTGATGCTAGGCTAGCCACCCAGGCTGGTTTGCTTACAAAAGTGACATTACAAGGTAACACTTCCTGTGACAAGTTGTTGTCATGGGAACCAGAGCGTGTCAGAGCAATTCAACAGTATCTGAAGAATGTCTGTATATTTTACATGAATCATGCACGTTTTAATGGGTTAAAAGGAGGCGCCTATACTTTATGATTTTCAAGAACTTTGGTTGCATTCAGTAAAACGCAAATGTGTTTTGGCATTTGCTGATTTTCTCATGGAACTCTGTTCTTTACTTTACACGTCTTCTATTTGTTTACAAAGTAAGGAAATAGATTTGCTGCAAGTCAAAGCTTGTCTTGTTCTATTTGTTTACAGAGTAAGGAAATAGGTTTGCTGCTGAGTCAAAGCTCGTCTAAGCATATATAGGTACGTCTCTCTCATGCATGAGTGTTAGCTCTTCCGCGAGTAACTTGTTTTGATCGTTTAGTGGCTTTCTGCTTGTCGATGCAGCTAAAATTTAGGTGAATTACATCAATCTAACAATAACATTAAGGCCTTTACTTTGTAGAAAGGGGGAGCGTCTCCCAGGTCTACCTACATATAACTCTGTCCTGGGCTTCCTTCGTCAGGAACAGGTTTAGTCATACCGCGATTTGGATTTCTTTTTAACCAAAGCAGAATAGATATCGGTACAGATTACAAGCTGCTGAGGTGATACCTTTGTTACACAGACTTACGCTTTAATGCTGACGTTCTTGATATCAGTTGGGACTCTAAGGCTGTTTTTTTTTTCAAAGTAGAGATGTCAATTCCAGCTATTTGTTTTATCTGCATTTAGATAAGCCAGCGATCAAGATGCGTGTTGCACGTTGCGTTTTAGTTGGGTCGCGATGATCGAGTGCACGCCTGTAGGTTAACAATAGTTAAAACTCGGGTGATTTTACTACACTCTGTCGTCAGGGTAACGTACTGTATGCCCTGTTCGGAGTTGGTGTTTTCTGTAATTCTTCACTGTCACGAAACCTAATGATTAACGGTGCTGATTTAAACAACATCTAGAAACTGTCTGTTTCAAAAGAGTCGTGCATAGTCCGTCGGCCGTTGAGGCTTACATGCCTATCTCAGATTCCTTTAACTTAGTAAAATTCTAATTCTACAAACGCAGAGTCTTGCACGGTGTTCGTGCTGTGTGTCTTCTGGTTCTGCAGTTCAGAATAATTTGGGGTTTGAGGAATTTTTACTGGGGGCCTTCACGCCTCGTTGAGTGGGCATGGTGTGGGGCCGAGAGAACTATGGTGACTGACGGGTTTTGGAGGGAAAGTTTCTTGAAACTGGCGTCCTCCTCAGTTACAGGTTCGTTGTAAGTTCCACAGAAAACTCGTTCGGGGCCGGTGGTGATGGTACAGGCCCTCCGGGGTCTGTCTTGCTGGGTGTCGGTGTCGTGTTCACCGGTTGGAGACAGCAGGTGGAAGGTCACCATCTTGTAGATTGTCAGAGATGTTGTGGAAGGCGGGCTTTTCCACCCCCCTTTTTCAGCTCTTGTGCATTGGCTGAAATGTGCAGACTGGTCAGGGGAAGCTTGTGGTGTGTGTCCTTCCCTTTCCAGTCATGCTGCAGTCTATCAGAGTGTTGCAACTCTGTGGGTCAAGTTCGTGTTCGAGATCTTGTCTCTGCTGAACGAGCTTGTGGGTGGTCGCACGGGCCTCTTGCGCAGGCCGTGGCTTTTGAGTCTCTTTCAGTTCAGTCTCTGCTCTTTGCAAGAGACTTCACTTTGTCGGAGTTTCTCGTTGAATTCTTTTTAGTTCTTTTCTCTGACTATTCTTCTTCAGTCTATGTAGAAAATTAGACAGGGCAGTTTGAAGTCTTTCCACTTCCTTCGGTAGCTCGGGGTCGTCATCCTCGGCGTTACAACCTTGTGCTCCAGGGCGATGCGGCTCCTTTCGCGGAGGCGTGCGTGTGCGTTGAGCTGGTGAGCGAGGTTGTGACGTGTCTGGCCCAGTCTTTGTCAGCTGCTCTTGGCTCGGGGCTCTGAGTCGCTGGTGGCTTTGGGCAGGGATGGAGATGTCATGAATCTCAGCCATGTCTCCAGGTTGTCCCAGGTCGTCCCAGCGGGTTGTGGGACTGTAGGACTGGAACATACTGCCTTCACTGTGGACGAGAGGAACACAACACACACAGACAGACCAATGCCAGTTCGACTACTTTTAACGAGCTATAATACAGGCTAAGCCGTGTATGAGAATTTTGGTTAACTGATGCAGACAGTTAAACCGTTTGGTGGGACAATTTGGGTAGGTCATCATGGGTCTGAATGAAGGTTTTTGACAGGGCGCTAGCTTAGGGGTCACCTGTTGGTGCTAACGACTTGGTTGTCAAACTATTCTTCAGCTTTCCTTGGTGTGTCAGAGAGGTTCTGTCTCTAGGTGAACTGAAAGGAACAGAGCACAACAGAACAGAGCAATGGCAATCTAGCAAAGTTTGAAGTAACATGCAACCATCAGAGATGGGGAGGTCTGTACTAAAATGGCAGTAGTACACCAGCAGTGTTAGAAAGGGGAAGAAGAGAAGGCCTAAGCCTGTTTGGAGCCGGTTTGTGGCTCGGAGAGGAGGAAGCCAACCACTTCAAATTACCAGGGGAATCTCTAGGTTCTGTGGCAAATAGTAAGTGGATGGGTTTTAATACCTTTTCTAGTTTGCCTGGGGTGAAATGAGGTCATTCTGGCCGGAGTCAGCATCGTGGTTGGTCCTTCTGTCGCCCCACACATGACAGCAGTGTCCCGGGCCTTTCGGTGCATCTGTACCGAGGTGCGCCCTCTCAAGCAACTTGACCTTGAACACAACCGGCGGTGCCAGATTGGTGATATCGTGTTGCGGGCTGCACCAACAGAAGATACAGAAAAGTCAGAGACTCGCGCTCAGTCAGTGATGGTGACTCAGATCAGACGAACCAGCTCGCTGGACCCCAGGCAGAGATGACTGTCAAATCATCACAGCACGAGAGAGATTTCTACTTGCAAACACAAAACAGAATGAAGAACAAGTGTACTTCAATGTGAATTAAAGCTCCTTTATCTAAATCAAATTGAGTGTTTTTTGTAGAAAAATCAAAGGCAACAGCTTTACTAAAATTATGGTATAAACAAAAAGGAAATTATGACAATGTTACTTATCAGAATAACCTAGCCTCCATTCAGGAAAGGGATAGAGTGCCGCAATGAAGAACACAGGAGGAAGCGAGCTGTAGTGGCGGGTTTTGGCCACTAAGGGTTTTGGGCCACTTCCTGCTAGTGTTTCACCGGGCTGACAGAGAGCTTGATTTAAATTGCATTCAAACTGACTTAAACACAATTCAAATTGAGCAAATGCATAGGGGTTAAGTAACCATTAGATTAGTAAGGATACAGTTGTACCGAGACCAGATCAAAATTATTAAAAATAATTTGAGGAGGAAATATAGAAATAAAGCCATAAACAATTCCCAATGGGAAATGAGAGAATTAATTCAAATTAACTTCGAAATTTGTCTGTTTCAAACCAAATTTGAATAAGTGTAGGAAATTAAAGGTTGGTGTCATATTTGATGATAATCACGATTACGGTGAGGGATCAGTGATAACCAGAATACAACCAACAGTGAGAGAGCCATGCGAACAGAGTGAGGTTAGCTGATGACTTAGCAAAGGGACGGCCACAAGGGGGCGCTTTCCTCTAAGTGGTCATCAGAAGCTGCTAAGACTTAATTCTGAATTTTAAATTCAAATGTCATTTGAACCAAATTCAAAACAAGTGCACACGGGCAAGGTAAGGAAAATCATGTTATTACAACGAGGCTGTAAATTGCACATGCATTGAAAGTTAGAAAAACTAGTTCAAAATTTCAGTAAGAAAATAGGAATTTTCTAACAGAGAATTTTGAGGAAGAGATGACCTAGCTGTTACTGTCCACACGATGGCGCCACTGCGCTCACACGGGGTAAAGTCAGGACACCGGTGGAAATTTGATACTGCAAAGCACTCAAGGGCGCACCCTAGTGTCTGGCAGTAGTATTACAACCAGCCCCCTGACCCGGTGATTTATTCAGAGGGAGTGGAGCGTTACCACCCTCCCTGCTGTATAATCATAAATATTACGGAATTTTAAATCTCGACGGATTTCTTTCCGGTACTATATTTTACAAGCACGTTTGGCAGGATTTTTTTTTTTTTGCGTTGTGCAAAAGAAAACAGGAATTACTCGTCTGTTTCAAAACTCCAAATAACATTTATCAAAACTAGTATTAATGATTGGAATGTTCTCAGTTTTGGATTTTTTTTTTTTTGCTATATTTGTTTAAAACACGTTCGCAGGTTTTCTTAGCTGCATTGTGCAAAGGAAAACAGGAATTACTCGTCTGTTTCCTGCTCCAACAGGCATATATCAAATAGCACTTATGATAATATGCTTGGCGGTTTTATACATTGAGTAGCTAAGTCAATGTTTTTTCAACCAGGAGCTTATCGTTACTCTAACGATTATAATATAAGGCCTTTTAAGAACAGTAAAAGAGCATCGTTTTACCGTATCTTTTCTTCGACACTATTCGGAGAATTTCGTCCGGACAGTGGAGTTAAAATTATTAAAAGTGTCGTTTATGCACAGAGGTTTCTCTTCCATCTGTGCCAGAACAAATTTAATACTATGGAAACTGCAGTTTATTTTTAACAATTAACAGTGACTAAAATGTTTGAACATTTAGCAGCTTGTTAAATGTGCTTGACTGAGGCGGCTTTCGTGCCCAGATCAGTCATATCATGAGTTCGCAAAGCGTTCACTCCGATGCGCGTGTAATATTAAATATTACATAAACAATATTAAATAACAATATACACATTAGCTTGAAATTGATTGCTCATAAACAAGTTTGAAATGCCCGCATTCTCCACCAATGTAAAGACTCTGGGTCGGTTCTGATCAGGGGGGAATTTGCATATCATAATTAATAATTGATAATTAATAATTATTCATACAGATTTGGATCAGACCGGTCTTACATGTTAATTTATTAATTTTACCCATATGCATACATGTGCATCCCCGCAATCAACCACAAATTAATTGTTATTGATTGCAAGGACCACGTTTTACAAGACAGGCAAAATCAATTAGCTCAATTAAGTTATATAGCTTGTGAAAACAAATTCTGTGGCCACTAGAATCTGCCTTCCCTGCTCTATAACCAAATACCCTCTTAGGTATTTATAGTTCTGTAAAGCGTGTAGCTTTAAATTGACATTTCATTGACCCGTATTATGAGCAAGACAGTCAGTCAAGGTAAGCATATTTTGCATTTAATAAAGTTACTACTTAAGCATTCACTACGTTACAATGATACATGTATTTACAAACATTAAAACACAAACTAAGACGACGCAGAGCGTTTAGACAATGGATACGCGCAAGTTAAGTGAGTTTGAGAGAGAGAGTGAGAGAGAGAGTGAGTTGTAAGAGAGAGAGAGAGTTACGTTCATCAAAACAGTCAGTTAACCTTTCTGGACACCCCAAAAACATCTTCTTAATGCTTCTTAGAAGCTCTAAAAGAAGGTATACTTGCAAGGCACATGTGGTCTGTGTGAGTCGTGGGCTCGTTGCTCGACCCGTTCGGGCCACGTGTCGGCTAGAGGTGCGCCGGTCCGGCGCGCGTGCGTCACGTGAAGCGCGGCCGCGGCATGTTTGCGCGGCCCGTCCCGGCTCGTTCATGGCTGCTTTGTTCCGTGGGGAGTCACGTGGCGTTCGTCGGCATTTAGCGCCAGTGTTTGAAAGGCTGAGAGTCTTTGAGGTGACGTTACCCGAGGAGATAGTTCGGCAAAGTCCACTTCCTTTCCTGGAAGACGAACTTGGTAGTCCACTTGAGGAAAAGATGAAACTTTTAGACGAACAAAAGGAAAGACCCATGGTTGGATCAGAGTCCCGTGAGGTTTACATGTTGAGCGCTGGAAAGTTCAGAAGAGAGAGAGGGCGGACCTGCGTTCTCACATTTATCACCTTGGAGAAATCCATCCCCTTCCTGTTGGCTTGAGCCAATCGGAGAGTGGATGTTGCACGCGGGAAGCTTTCTTTTGTTCCTCAGCGCGCGCTTCTCGTGGAAGGGGGTGTGTTAAATGAGGGTTTTGCAATAGCAATTTGATCTTCATTGGCAGTACAACGAATTAAAAATAGACTTTACTTTACATCTCTATGCATATTCGAGTGTTTCATTCAATAAGCATTCTAGAGATATCAAGGAACATTATGTTATATCAAAGGAATATACACTTATGTTTCAAATGCATGACGAAGGTATTTTTAATTCCTATTTAAACTGTGACCAAACAAAGTTATTTCACTGTGACATGGGGAAGACACATATACATAAAAACCATTGAAAACATTTTGTTGAATGTTTTTAAACACCAAAAGTCCTTCTCTTTGTTCAAAAACATTCCACACATTCCGATGTGTGGGGGAAGTGAAAGGTTTGTGTGTGTGTGTATGTGTTGATGTAACTCGCCTGGCCAAGATTCATTACACTGTGTTCTTATCTTGATATCTAGATGCAACTGTTTCAGTTTCTCATTGGTGAAAAGGAGAGTTTGGGAAAAAATGAATCTTTTCCTGTGTGTCCTGCAACTCCTTCTAACAAGGCTGGAATCTGTAGTCCACAGGTAACTAGAGAAGGACTTATTTTATTTATTTATTTTTTTTTTTTTGGATCTTACTCATAATACCAAGAAATTTCCACAAGAAAATTAAATGGATATAAATATATACGTGCACACACACACTTTTGAAATGGCTGACCTCCTTTGAAACGTACCTAGATGATTATGGTTATTGTCCAATAACCTTCAAAAAAGACAAATATGAACAATTAATTGGCACTTAATAATCCACCTCAGTATCCTATGGAACATTTTTTTAAATATTGCACCTTAACAGCAACTAAGGAGGTCGAAGCTTAACAAAGGGTTAATTAATGTTGATTCTGGCTCTTTTGCTGATGTCAAGATTAGAACTTTCTCTAGTTTTCTTTTCCTGGCTCTCATTCTCCCCTTTGTTTCCTGTTAAATTTCACACCCGTGGATGTCTCTTATTCAAAAGAACGTGAATATCATATCATTCAGAAGTGAGAACAGGATGTTTTAAAAGCACTTTGTATAGTGTGTTGAAACTACTGTTACTCTTGCCCAGTTCTGTTCACAGCTGCTCTGTTGGACTCTGATTTATGTGCGAGTAGACGCTAGAGTTTGCCACTGTAATACTGGGGGTGATGAAGTTTATGAGCCTGGCCTGTTTAAGCTTAAGGGGTTGTGGAAAAAGCCAGTCCTCTATACAACATGAGTCCAAGTCCGCTAACTGACTCATCATCAGTAAGGAAGAACGGAAGAGTATGAACTGTTCCTGTTAAAAAAGCAAACCATTTACTCTTTCATTTTACATATGAGTTTTAGTACAATACAAATCATCCCACCTAGTAGTTGTTAAATTTTTCTTTCAGATACAGCGAGTCGTCAGGAGAGTTTTCTGTTCTTATTTGGGCCTTCTGGTGAACTGTAAGAATGACCTGGCCCTTGTGTACACCCTGGACAACCCTAAACGCTCTCTGGGGCACATCGCCTTTACTGACCTGAGACATGCTGCATGCAACAACGGCTCATCTCTTTTCTTGGTGAATTTGCAATGACTTGCACTTTTAGAATAGAAAAGATTTAATATTTTCTATGTAAAATGTAAATAAAAAGATGTTTAGTTGAACAAATGTAGGTTTTTTTTAAGCTTAATGTGAATGCTGATTAATTGCCTTTTTGCATTTTCAGACAGTGACATCGTTTATCAGGGCCATACAGCTGGGAGGAAAGGGGTACGCCCCACCTGAATCTCACCCCTTAAGGAAGCACATAAAGGGTTTATCGGAATATCTCAATTTTGTCGATCAGTGTCAAGACATTTTAGGAGAAACCCCCAATCCAAGGTATGCTTTCACGCATTATTTGCCCTAAATAGGAACTCTAGGAACCGTGTGTCCAACATTGGTAAATGTAGAGCCGCAATGTGGACTCAAGACATTTGCAGTGTTCAAAATGGACTCATATATATACATATAAATATATATACATCAACATTTAATTTATTTGAACATAAATATTGTAGTTATAGTATTAAGTGAAGAATCGGGTATAATTCCATAAAGTTTCTAGTTGCTCACATGACTTCACACTGTTTGAAATTTAATATTGATAATATATTATAATGTTGCCCTGGCATAATAATAACCCAATTTTGTGTAAAATATCAGATTATTTATTTATTTGGCATTGGCAAGTATATATATTTTGTAAAGCCAGTAAGTTTATGAGGAGTTTACTTTTCTAATAGCCATTGCTTTGAATCAGTTGCAAGGAATGTCATGACCTGGCCTTGACCTCCTTTGCATCTCTCTATCATAAGTGCACGACCCCAGATGAGAGATAGAAGCCTTTGATTTATACAGATTTTGTATCGCATTGCTTGGCTCAAAGAAAATGTTCCTGATCTGTATGTAGATCTGTTGGTCTCCTATCTTTAAAACGGATCCTCTCGTCTTTTACCCGTTATCTATTGATGCATGTTCCTATTCTCTGAAACGCAGCCTTTAATGACGTCTGCACCAGTATTAATGAAATCGCCTGAATTGTTCAAGCATGTTTATCTGAGGAACATCAAAGTGTGTTGTTCTAAACAGCAAATGGCGACTTGTCCCACCTTAGTTTGATAACTCTGATTAAAAGTCATAACACTGATATTCTGCCATGATAAGTTGCACTTCAAAACATCCAAGCAAATCTCCACTAGACATTTGGCAGCACAACACTTGGAGCTGCATTGTATGGATGATTGGGGTTATTCAGAATGGACGCAAGATCATTTCCTGGAGTGCATCAACTTAATTTTTGATGGAAGTGCCTTGAACCTAGTGCATGTGGCCCTGTTCACCACCACCACGTCTCTTCTCTGATGAGAGAGTGCGAACGCTGAGCCAAAAGGGGTCTTTCATCGGCCTGCTACCCTGCCTGTGCAGTTCCCCACCTCCCAGCACCTTGTGGAGTACTGTATTACCACACACAAACACTCCTTACGGGGGAATCGGGGTCTCTCGTACAGCTAACATCTGTTTTCCCAGATGATTCTGTTACTGTAATTCCCTTTCACAAAAGCAAGGTCAGGGATTCAGGGCGGCCTCTTTCCCGCTGCAGCCCAAATGTTTACATTTATTAATCTCTTCATATATTCACACATAAAGTGAGGTGGAGTTCAGCAATAGCACTGGTCTGGCACTAAAACCTTCTGGATCCTCCTAGACCACATTTTTACATGAGTTATGGAGTGGTCACTTTAGATTTTAATCATGCAAAATTATTTTTCTGCAATAAATGTCATCTTTTTATAATGAATAATTAATATTCAGGAGTTTGACAGTCATGGAAAATCTGAAAGCTCTATTTTTTTAAAAGGCCTAGAGAATCATTTCAGTGCAGTGAACTCATTGTTATGTTCAAGAAACCAATTTGAAATGATTCGAGCTTTGTGATATGGTGCATTATCCTGCTGGAAGTAGCTATCAGAGGATGGTACATGGTGGCCATAAAGGGATGGATATGGTCGGAAACAATGCTCAGGTATTTAAACGATGCCCAATTGGCACTAAGGGGCCTAAAGTGTGCCAAGAAGACATCCCCCACACCATTACACCACCACCACCAGCCTGCACAGTGGGAACAAGGCATGATGGATCCATGTTCTCATTCTGTTTATGCCAAATTCTGACTCAACAGAAATCAAGACTCATCAGACCAGGCAACAATTTTCCAGTCTTCAACTGTCCCATTTTGGTGAGCTCTTGCAAATTGTAGCCTCTCTTCCCTATTTGTAGTGGAGATGAGTGGTACCCGGTGTGGTCTTCTGCTGTTGTAGCCCATCCGCCTCAAGGTTGTGTGTGTTGTGGCTTCACAAATGCTTTGCTGAATACCTCGGTTGTAACGAGTGGTTATTTCAGTCAAAGTTGCTCTTCTATCAGCTTGAATCTGTCGGCCCATTCTCCTCTGACCTCTAGCATCAACAAGGCATTTTTGCCCACAGGACTGCCGCATACTGGATGTTTTTCCCTTTTCACACCATTCTTTGTAAACCCTAGAAATGGTTGTGCGTGAAAATCCCAGTAACTGAGCAGATTGTGAATCTTGCTGTGGAAAGTTGTGGAATCCCTGAAAAACCCATCCAGAATGTTAATGTACAAAAGTGTCCCACAACACGGAGAAAAATCTCCTTTGGCAGTTGTGACTGCGCATTTAGGATTGGTGAAATTTGAAAATATGTGTTTTCTTGATTGTCTGTCTTTTCCCAAACAGAGAAGCTGGATCCAAGTTGGTGTCTAGGATTAGAGCTGCTTTGGTCAAAGGCCGCAGTGCTGGAGACCCAGTATACCTTGCAGCAGAGGACACTGACAAAAGTCTCAAGGAAAGGATCGGTCAAATACACACCACGCAGACGCAGTCAGTGGTTGACACAGGAATTAGTCCAGCCAGGGTAAAACATAGTTGATGTACTATATTTTCGGAATTTCTCCAAACCAGCATTATTAGTAAGACACAATGTTTAATTTTTTTTTTAGCCCAAAGCATATGCCATAAACCACTCTACTGCCTATGGGGGCCGAGAGACTGTGAAGGTTCTGATGGTCCTCTTGGATGAAGAGGCACTAGCCCCGCCCTGCAGGAACAAGGTGGAACTGCTTTCTGAAGATCATGCGATTCTTAATGGCAGCGCTGGAGTTTGTCTTCTTACCCTGTACAAGTGAGTTACACCACTTTGATGGTACGATTAAAAGGCAATGATCTTACAAATTGACTATGTAATGAGCAGTCGTGGCCTAATGGTTGGAGAGTCCGACTGGTAACCCAAAGGTTGCGGGTTAAACGTACTATACCATTATTGGCATTTACATGGCACTTTCATTTTCACTAATCAAAATTATCCCCATGGAATTCCCTTGCGAAAATGACTAAAACACTGCACGGTGCATGCCAGGTCGGTAGTTGTCAAAAATGGTAGTTGTTAAAAAAAAAAAAAAAAAAAATTCAATTAGTATCATTGTTCTTGTTTTCTTCAATTATGCAAAAATACAGTTGTAGAGTTAGTAGATATTTCCTGTCTATTTGATCAGTTTAGTCCTCTTTTGACAGGTGTGGCAAAAAAAGTTAATTTGTGTTAATTGGACTAATTCAAACTGACTGTTGTTGCAGTTATTTATTTTTATGTCGAATTATTAACACCACGTTTTATTCTTCAGTTATTCAACTTGTTCTCGTTCCAATTTGTGCCTATAGATCTCCAGAAGCTCCTACGGGATCTTCTCCAAAACCTTTACGGAACCGCGTCTTGAGCCAACAAGAACATATCAAGTCCAAGGTAAAGAATCATCTGGGTTGTAAGCAGAGACCCTGGTCTCAAATAGCGGTCAAATAAAAATTGAATGTGACGCTTGATTTTTAAAACAGACAGCAAGTAATGCATGTTCACAAGCTATATCATCTGCTTCCTCTGTTTTGTAATGTGCAAATTTATACACTACAGCTGTTTTTAATGCAAGGTGCTTGTGCAGCGGGTTTCCTGTTATATAAAAACAACCACTGAGTGTGTAAGTTAGTGTAGTACAGTACACTCCTAACTTGAACTAATAACCTCTGGCAGTGATGCGCACTCACACTTCAAGCCTATCTTATCCAGAAAACATTTTAAATGGTCTTGGTGGGCTGTGAGAAGAAAGATTATATTTGCATGTGCTAAAAATGTCGGATTGTCTTCTGGCCTTGTAAGGATTTATTTGACTATTTGGTCATAGAATTCTTGAAAGGAATAAATCTCGTAATATGAAACTGCTTGAATGGGAACTAAATGAGTTTGTTTCTGAAACCAAATTTAACTAGTCTCTGGGTTGCTAACACGTTTTAAATGTGGTGATGAATGGCACTTTAATTTTTAAGGACTGGGCATCTTCACCAACCAAGAAATGGTGAGCGCTCTGTGAACATGTATGCTAGGCACATTTTGTTAAAAGGCTTCTTTATTTGATTGCGCTAGCAGATGTCTCTTTAGACCTCCACTTTGGCCGCCTTCCTGTGTTAGTGAGCGGTAATGGTCCCCGGGCAGCTCACCGCTTCCTGAACTGGACGGGCGGAAGCTTTTTCTGCATCAATTTCACTTTGAACATGCCATATCAGTGGCGTTACTCAGCTAGCAAGGGAAACTTGAAAGGTTATTATTTCCTGTTGTCTGCAGAATGACTTTATCCAGTCGTACTCCAACGGTTTCATCACTAATGACGCTTTTCCAATGCTGGTACGGCTCAGTACAGTTCGGCTCACTTCGCTTTTCCACTGCGTGGTACGACTCGGCTCAGCACGGCTCGGTTCGCTTTAGCTTCAAAGTGGGTGGGATTATAGTCTGATCCAGAGCCATAGAGAGAAAGAGCCATAGAGCCATTCTCTCTATGGCTCTGGTCTGACCGTTATAGTTTATCCAAGTAGTTTTAAAACAGGTGCTACAGCAGTGGCTGTATCTGGCTATTTAAATCTAGTGGGTTGAATGTCTCGCAAATACAATGATGCTGGTAGTGACTATTCTGTCTGACCAATCAGTTATCTGCAGTGTGTTCACGTCACATTTTAGTATCGATACTGTAAAATGGTAACGCCTATGTTGAGGTTCCAAGCGTAAAGCGAGCCGTACCATACCATGCAGTGGAGAAGCACCACAAGTGAGCCGTGCCGAGCTGTATTATAATAAAAAATATTATTTAATAAACTGTAAAAGTAGAATAAATAATAATAGTAAAAATGGGTTATTCTGAATATACATATATTTGTGTTATTATTATAATCCGTGCATTTTCCAACATGCTTATCCTATGTTGTCACAAGGATGCTGGAACCTATTCCAGCATTGTGGGCTGAAAGCAGAAACACCCTAAAATGGATGGATGGATGGATTTTCTACTTTATAAACATTCTTTTGTTATAATAATAGTTGTAGCAATAATAATTTTTAATAATTTTTTCAACATACAGGAACACTATGAGTAGTCTAAAATCCAGACTTAAAGGAATAGTTCACTGAATTTAAATAGAGGCAGACCGATATATCGGCAGGCTGACATTATCGGCCGATATTAGGCATTTTCGAAAATATCGGTATCGGCAGTTATAATAGCCGATAAATGAATATTTCAAAAATAAAATAAAAACGGACGAATCATGCTTCAACCATGTCATGAGTGTTGTCAAAAAGTGCAGGTAAAGGGATAAGCAAGCTGACATAATTATAAGGTCGCTTATAACTGTAAGGCAATGTAGGGACTAATTATTATTTAATTTATCAGAACTTTAAAATATTTTGATGTTCCTCTGTTCCGTTGTGACAATAGAAACAAGATTATTTTAAAAATGCATTATCATATTATTTTAGTTAAAACTCATAAATAATTATAAATAACTAATGTTAGGGAAATTGTTAATATTTTGTTGCGCATTTCTGAAACAAGAATAATAATAATATCGGCCGATATATCGGATTTTTAAAACCAACAAATATTTGTATCGGTATCTGCCTTCAAAATCCTTTATCGGTCTGGCTCTAAATTTAAAAATTCTGTCATTTATTGTCCCTCAAGTTGTTTCAAACCTGTATGAATTTCTTTCTTCTGCTGAACACAGAATTATATTTTGCAGAATGTCGGTTGAAGAACCCCATTGACTTTTTTTCAATGGGGTCCATCAACTGTCTAGTGACCGACATTCTTCAAATTATCATCTTTTGTGTTCAGCAGAAGAAATAAATTCATAAAGGTTTGAAACAACTTGAGGGTGAGATTCCTTTGATCTCACTGCTGTGCTGCTAGTGCTGTGTAAGCTGACTCCTTGGGTTTTTTCTCAGGGCAGGTGTTATTCAATCCTGCGTCATTTCATTGTATGCCTTATAAACATGAAGACACACCCCTCATCTTATTGAAGCCTTAATGATGACGTTCATATCAGAGGAAGAGGAAGTAGCTGGTGGACCCAGCCTGTCGAAGTTTTTCTTGGGCTCTCTCTTGGCGTTCAGTCAGGGCTGCCCAATGTACCATATAAGCCTCCCAAATGAAAGCACCCAGTTTGACCGATACTGTTGTTTTAGGTGCTCTTTTGAGAAGTGCTTTGAAAAGCTGCACTCAAGCTTTGATTTCCAAACCCCCTGCCCCGTTTTCTCTATGCTTTGCAGTCCCACCCAAGTATGCCTGCAGTATTTTTTATTTTTTTTCTTTGCTGAATTCCACTCTCCAACTGCGGCCGGCTAGCCTAAAGGGAGAGAGCCTTGAATCCTGATAATCCTTAGCAGGGATGGATCAAAGGCCCTGAATGTGGTGGATCAGCGCTTCTCTGAGACCCTTGAGACCTAGAGAGGTTCACTACCCCTGTTCAAGCTACCATTTCCTTATTTCATGCTCCTCACGGCTTCCGGACCGCAATATTTATCTTTGTTTTTGTATATTTTCTCATAAGATTTTAGATGTGGTCGTTTCCACCCATGTTGTATCAGCAGGGCTGAACAATACGGACGATCTGATGAGGCCAGTGTCAGAGTGTTTCTGGGTAGTTGATGGGAACTGTTACTTGTCCTCTCAGACCAGTGCTGCAGTGCTACATTCTTCATTCATTGACCTTATTCATGTCTAGCAGACGATTTGAATATTCTTGGCAATATAGCACTGAGTAGCATGTACATATACGTATATAGTATACACGTACATGAGAATAAGCTGTTCACTTTTTTTTGAAACCCAACCTAACTGAAAATGTATATTTTTATTGACCATTTTAACACTTTTCCCCCAGGTTGTGCGGCCAACCATCCGCTCTCAGTTTGCGTGTACGTACAAGGGCGATGAGCTGCCCCTCAGCCGGGTGTTGGAATTTCCAAGTGGTAGCCAACTTCCCACCTGTGCGCACCCTGCGCCCAAACGAACGTCTGTGGAGGAAGAGTGTGACTCCCCTGGGATGGACAAAAGACTCAAAGGTAGTGTCTCTGCCAAGCTTAAAGGGGGGGTTGACTGCTTTTTTTTCTTTGCATGATTGTGTTTATGGGGTGCAATATAACATGTATTCGTGGGTTTTCTTTTTTAAAAAAGTCTTATTTTTTCATAAAGTTCAACCTTTATTGTAAGCCGCGCTCTCCTCTGTCCTCGAACGACCGTTGACTTCCTGAGTCTATGAAAACCACTCCATCAGAAACAGGCAGTGGGCTCAGATTGGTTAGTTTGGGCCGGTGTGTTGTGATTGGCTAAACTGTCGCTCACGTTGTCCGGAAGGTTAACGCCCATTACCTATATTACTTGTTCCCTGGTCCAGAGCCTCTCAATATATGGCTCTGCTCCGGTCCAGATGTAAATGATGTCGAACTGC